AGTTGCAGAGCTCATGTTTGCAGTTTCCCTCATTAAGCAGGATCTGAGGAAAAAGGCAGGTTCACTTGCAATCACACTTGCCATACATTTTTTATAAGCACAAGAGCAGGCAAACTTAACTGGGGCCACATTTTTAACAATTAAAAAAAAAACAGGCAAAATTATGACACTATATTTTTCAGCTTCCAATGGGGTATAACTTGCAGAGTGCCTGGGGCTCTGAAGTAGAACAGTCATCTCAAGCTTGTCTAACAAACTTATTTTTAATTTTATAAATACATTAGTAAAGTTTACTGCTGCTCAGTTTGGGCAGTGCAATTGGGAGGGATCACCACAGGTAGCAAAAAAGAGGAGGAGCGGGAGGAGGAGTGGGAGGAAGAAGACAACAAAGGTTGCATATGGCCTGTGAGTAATAGGTCCAACTACCTGTGTTCTAGAAAATATGGTAGGAAAATATTTGTCAAGGGAGCAGGTGTCATGTACTGAATAATGTGAATAATGCCAGGACTGTGGCCACAGATGAGCAAGAGTTGGGTACTTGTAAGGCTGGTGCTATGGGTATTCTGTGATTCTGATGAGCAGTTGCCACTTCCTCTTGTGACCCTTTCTGCTTCCTCAGATGACATACTCTCTCACCCGCTTTGCCATCTATGAGACGGTGCGGGACCACTTGAACCAGGGTGCCCAGGGGCCGATGCCTTTCTACCAGAAGGTGCTGCTAGGTGCAGTAGGAGGTGAGCTGGGGCTTGGCAAGTACAGGAAGAAGGATTCGGTCAGATCAGGCCAGGCGGTCCCTTTTCATCTGCTCTTCTCTGGTTGCAGGCTTTACTGGTGGGTTCGTGGGGACCCCGGCTGACATGGTGAATGTCAGGTCAGTGTTTCCTCCTCCGTCTCCTCTCCAGGACCCAGTGGATTAATCCTTACAAGGATCCTACATTAGTGGGGGTAGAGAAGGATTTTTTGCTGCCAAGAGGAAAGTGAGCATTATTATTGTGGCTACAATGGGTAAAATTTGCACTCCTGGGACATTCTAGTGTCTCTACTTCTTAGGGTTGTTTGGAGCAAACAATACTCTACTTTGGTGAGATGGTGGCAGAGGGAGGTTTGTCCCTTTCTCTCTCTAATGTTGTAATGTTCTTTTCCAGGATGCAGAATGACATTAAGCAGCCAGCACACCTGCGGCGCAAGTGAGTATCAGGGCTGTAGTCAGATGCAGAAATATGGGAAGGCAAAGAAGAGCATTGGGAGAAGAAAGGTGTGCTATGAGGCCTTTCCCTCTCCAAAAAGGGCTGCATTGAAGATGCATGACCACAGAGGGACAAAATTGATCTTCAGATGTCCATTCTTTCAAGTCTGAGATCCCTTTTAAATTGGTGGCAATCTTACCACAGAGGCCTAAGTCCCATCTGCCAGAGCTGTCAGACAAAAAAGGGGAATTGAAGCCTCTGACAGCCACCAGCTGGTGTAGTAAGTGCCTGTCAGAGTTACAAGAATACTGATGAATGCTCTCGCTTCTTGCTTTCTAGTTACTCCCATGCCCTGGATGGCCTGTATCGGGTGTTTCGTGAAGGTAAGAATTTATCCAGTGTACAGCAGGAATATGTTGTGACTCTAGGAGACCCCTGTTGAGTTAAGGTTACTTGAAGGGGAAAATAATCCATTAAGCAGAACACTCTATAGTATATCTTATGGGCAACTGGTGGCCCTCTAGGCAGGGCCACATTATGACTTTTGTGGGCCCTAGGCACTTTTGCCTTTGTGGGTCCTCCCTCTAGAAAAATAATGCAGATAGTCCTCATTTAACAACAGTAATTGGGACCAGCAACTCTGTCGCTAAGTGACGTGATTGTAAAGTGTGATGTCACGTGACTATGCTGACTTACAACAGTAGTTGTGGCAGTTCTGGTTGCCATTGTTAAGTGAATCCTGCGCAGTTGTTAAGCACAATGTCATGTGATTGTCATTTGCAACCTCCTGCCAGCTTCCCCATTGACTTTGCTTATTGGAAGCTGGCAATGAGGTTGCAAATGACAATCACAAGACCATGGGACACTGCAGCCGTCATAATTGTGAATTGGTTGCCAAGTGCCTGAATTGCAATCACGTGACCGCAGGGACGCTGCAATAGCCACAATGACGAGGACCAGTTGTAAATCACCTTGTTCAGCTCCATTGTAACTTTGAACGGTCACTGAATGAGTGGTTGTTAAGCGAGGACTACCTGTAGTATTAAAATTATACTTCATATGATTTTCAGTATTTTCCTCGTTTACTTTTATAAGTTCTTATAATTTAATATAACAAGCTCCTTCAGGAATTATTAAATTATCTCAGTGGCATTTAATGTATGACTGAGCTTTTAATTCGAATGGTATGTATATTTTATTTGTATTCTATTTATTGTGTATATTTTCAAGACCAAAAGACAAGGCATGAAAATAAATAACTTCTACTTCGCTTTTATTCTTTCTGCTTTAAAAAGAATTAAAACATTTTTGTGGGACCTAGGCACTGTGCCTATTGTGCTTAATGGATAAGTGGGTCCTGCCTCCAGATAACCCTGACTACAATTTTCAGCAATCGACCCAGTAGAGATGGATGCTGGAGCTCAAATTCAGTAACATCCTGGCGGTCCTGTATCTTTTCTCTTTTCAACTGAAGGTTGGTCCTTAGGGATCAGCCCCTATAGTTATAGTTATGATGCCTATAGTTATAGGCAGAAGGCACCATAAACTAGTTCTTGAGGAAGGGCAGAGGCTTTTGAAGCCAGGTCCTTGGCTTCCTCCTTGCATATGCGCTTGTGCACAGACACAGAAGGTAAACATAAAAGCCCCTTTTGGTGGTCCAGATTGTGATTCCTGAGAATAGAATGATCTCTCCCCAACCAAAGGTGTTTGATTTGAATTGTCTCATTTATAGCCTGCATAGTCCAAATTGAACTACAGAATAAGCTGCCCAAGGATGTTAGCTCTCAGTTGGAGTGCAATGAACAGGAAGCCGTCAGGATTATTTTTGAAACTCAGCTCCTGGCGCAGCATACAAAACACTCTTGTATTAGCCAGACCTATCTTTGCTATGGTTAGATCCCATCCACAGGCATCTAACAGGGATCTTCTCTGGTATGTTGATCTCTATCAGCAGATGTAATTTTTTTTTTGCCTCTTTCACTTGTGGCTACATTAACGGAGGCATCCTTCTTTCTGAACACAGCTGTTCAACCTTCTTATAGCCATTATACCCAGTCTGTGATGACAATAGTTGATTAGTCTGTTCTGTTCTCCAAGTGTTACTGTAAACTATACTCTGCCATTCCTGCATCTTGGGAGTAATAAAAGGTATCTATTCTTGAGCGATGCCTTGTGGGGCAGGAGAGTTGCAGCTGCAGAGGATAAGCGGAAGACACCGTTGAATGGAATCCCTATTCTGTAAATTCCAGGCTTTTGTCTTTGCAGAGGGTGTGAAGAAATTGTTCTCAGGAGGAACAATGGCATCAAGCAGAGGAGCCTTGGTTACCGTTGGACAGGTACGAATCCGGAGTCAATGTTGCCTATGATCTACTTCTGAATATAAGCAAGTGTGTTCAACTAGGCCAGGAACGAGTATCCTTTTCAGTTCCATGTGGTGGTGGATGGTGGATCAGAATCTGTAGCTACATGTGCACACATTCATAAACATTAAGAGTGTACAAAATTCAGTGACCTGGAACAGAATATTTGAGGGAACTCCAGAACATTCTGTTCTCCTTCCAGAGCATGCCATTCCAGGGGCATTTTGGTGGTTTCTGTAAATAAATTCCCTGGGAGTGGTTCAAGATACAGTGGTACCTCGGGTTACGAACGCCTCTGCTAACGAACTTTTCGGGTTGCGACCAGCTCCAGCCGCAAAAATTTACCTCGGGTTACAAAGGGTCTGCTAACGAACTTTTCGGGTTGCGACCAGCTCCGTCCGCAAAAATTTACCTCGGGATACAAACCAGATCCGTGGCCATTTTCCACTGTGACACGTGGTCCGCAGCCATTTTCCGCCCATTCCACGTGGTCCGCGGCCATTTTTCCGCCCGTGCCACGTGGTCTGCGACCATTCCCCCCCCGGTCCACGTGGTCCGCGGCCATTTTTCCGCCCTGCCGCGTGGTCCGCGGCCGTTTTTCCGCCCCTGCCGCGTGGTA